CTATTTGTTATCTTACTTCTATCATTGACAGTCCCTCTAGGTTGTGGGCTGCTTGCCTGTGTTCCTGAGAAGCATCTACGGTACCAGTCTATAGAGTGTGTTTTCTTTAGTGAATTACCGGTATGTTTACCGGTAATAAACTTGCACTGTTTTATGTATATGTTTGATTACATACAGCCTTGTGACAGTTTTCCTGCATGTCATAAGCATTTGAATATAAATTAAAATGTTAAAATCAAATCTGATATTGTTTTACCTTTTATTTGGTGTGTGGAAGGTGTGCGGAAGAGGGGGTAGTCTTATACAGCGAGTATATAACAAACTCTGTATTTTGAGTGGAAATGTTAGGGGGTCGTCTTATACGCCCAGTCGTCTTATACGCCGGCAAATACGGTACTCCTGTAATCCCTCTGAATAGGAATGCTTCCCTCTTTCTGTCTCATTCTGATCCTTCACAGGCCTAAACCAAGTTCTATTTCCTCCTCCAACTACTAAAGCTCCAAGGACTTCTTCTTGAGTTCCTTCACTTTCAGAGAACCCTATTGTTAAACTCTGTGAGTCTGTCAGATGCCCCAAAGGCAAAAGTGGAAGAAGGCTAACCAGAGAGGGTTGGCAATGGGTGGGCCACAGTGCTATATTGTTTTGTCATGTGTTAAGTAAGTGGATTTGTGGGTTCATATTACTTAGTTTTAAACAAACAAATCCTCATCAAATGTGCAAGGTAATTTTAAGATCCCTTCAAAAGAAATTATAAATTATCCCCAATATCAAAAGCACAAAGAAGGGAAAGAATTCAAGTTTTTCCTTACTGAATGAGGTAAAAAAACTTTACCAGATCTACAAGAAGGCAGTCAAAAACAAAATTTCAAAATTATCAAAATGACCTGTGAATAAGTTTGATTAGCTAGCCAGTGTTGCTCAGTGGTCAGAGTGTCAGCCCACACACCTAAATGCCTCAGGTTTGATAAGGGCAAGTACCTGGGTTGTGGGTTTGCTCTCACATTCTCCCCCTCCTTCTCCCCCTTTCCCCTCTGAAAAGCAATGGAAAAAATAACCTGTGAAGATTGTTTTTTAATCTGAATGGCTGGAAGTATTACATACCCCCCCCATAAATCCCCTCCAGCTAGCCCCCATCCCAGGCCTTCACCACCCTTCTACTGTGAGGATTAACAAACAAAAAAAGAATACACCCTGTCCTAAATGTAAGGTGCCCATTGTTGCCCTCTTAGCTAAGAATGTAATATGTGTATTCAATTTTTAAATAAACAAACATGCAAAACTCAAAATTTTTTACTAATAGAATATCCTCATAATAGGGACTATTATTTGAGAAACTGAGAGAAATGACATGTTAATTACTGATCTCTGACAAAGTCCACATGTTGTTTAAAACAGTTACTTTAAAAACAAAACAAAAACAGTTACTTTAAGCAGCAATACATTTGAACATGAAATAACAATACATGTACAGCTGAGCCTTGAACAATGCATGGGGAAGGGGTGCTGAACCCTGAGCAGTCTAAAATCCACTTATTACTATTGACCAGATGACTTACTTATAACACATAAAGTCAATTAACATGTATTTTATATGTTATATGTATTATATACTGTATTCTTACAATAAAGTATGCCAGAAAAAGAAAATATTAAGAAAGCCATAAGAGCCCTAACTGGTTTGGCTCGGTGGATAGAGCGTTGGCCTACGGACTGAAGGGTCCCAGGTTCGACTCCGGTCAAGGGCATGTACCTTGGTTGTGGGCACATCCCCAGTAGGGGGAGTGCAGGAGGCAGCTATTCGATGTTTCTCTCTCACTGATGTTTCTAACTCTCTATACCTCTCCCTTCCTCTCTGTAAAAACACCAATAAAATATATTTTAAAAAAATAAAGTCTTAAGAAAGAAAAAATACATTTACAGCATTTATTGAAAAAAAACATCCACATATAATTGGACCCATAGGGTTCAAACCCATGTTGTTCAAGGTCAACTATGTGCAGAAGATATGTTTTATATAAGAGTAGTAGAGAGGAAGAACAAGGTAACTTAGATCCTATACAGAAAGAGCTCTCTATCTAGAAGATTAGACAAATACACAAATAACTTAATAGTAGCATTAGTGCTGTCAACCAAATATTTCAGGTTCTTCTCCACTACATTCACACCTTCCTAGCTCCTTAAACTTAGGGGAGGCCATGTGACTTGCTCTGACTAATGAAATCTGAACCATGTGTCATTTCTGAGCAGAAACTGAAGAGCCTGAGAGATCTGCCATGCTCATCTTCCCTTCCCAACAGTAACAATGCTCAAGATGGTGACAGTCCCACTGCCTGCCAAAGTGAGAATGAAGTGGCTTGTGACTGACCAACAGATGAGTGAGAAATAAACTATTATTTTGAGCCATTAAGGTTTTGGGGTTGTTACCACAGTTTAACCTAACCTACCCAGAATAAGGTGACATGAGGTAATTCTGATAAAGAATGATGGGAGCTCTAAAGAATAATATTACATTTCATTCAACAGCTGCTCAGTCTTGTTAAAAGGCATGAACTTTTAAAAACACTATTTTCCCCATTCAGTCACTAACTTACAACTTAGACCAAATAACTAAACAAACTCGTAGCTATTGTGTCTAAGTTCCATTCGAAAGGATTTTAAACTTTCACAAAAAAACTTTTGAACATAATTCAAATTCTAGTTTATACACAGAAACTCACCACTAAGTAATTCGATCCAGTTCTGGACTGTTTCTGCAGGCTGAGTCTCCTTAACATGCTTTAGAGCTTCATCAAGAAGAACATCCCCTGTTGGGGCATCAGACTTACAGATCACCTAAAATGTAAGCAACACGAATAAAATAACCCACTGATACCTTTTCTCTGACTTGATCTCTTTGAATGAAAAACTTAAATAATTATGTAAGTAATTCTTTATGGCTAAAGCCCCAAGTGTACTTGCAATAGCAAAATTCAGATTTTAAATTAATTCTATATTAAGAAAATCCGGTATTTAACCTAACCAGATTAGCTACAATCATGAATGAAAGTAATCTTAATTAGTAAAGCAAAATGCTAGAAGATACTAACTGTAATTCCTTTCATTACTAAACCTTGGGCTATTTGACCCAGAAATTCATTTTTTAAACATTTATTAGTTGCAGAAACAATTATATGTAACAATTCTGTATATGAAAAAGGTGGCATTTTACACCAGTAGAGAAATAACTTTGTCAATGATTATTAAAACAACTGGCTGATAAATTAGCAGTAAAAATTAAGTAAGACATGACTCCTTAGAGCTTATACCACAATAAAGATTTAAATAATGAAATATAATTGTGAAGGTGAGAAAGGTTTTTTCAAATTTCTTACAACTTGAAGAAAATACCAATAGGCTTAATGACAAAACATTTTTAAATATTACATTTTTTTTCTAAACTATATTGGGATATAGAATCCACCTTAACAGTGGAAAAATCCAGTTGGGGAATGAGACAGAAAATTACTATACTGCTTTAGTCAAGTAGTAGATCTCTACAGCCTTCATTCATGTTCTTGCTGCCTAAACAACAAATTTCTAGTGTAAATTCTATAATATCAAATGTGAATCTGTTAGCTATTAAAATATTAAGAAATTTAACAGTATTATTTTTTAAATATAACAGTCCTCCTCTTAAAATCTGTCCTCAACAATGTGTCCTTTACTTTTTTGCTCAAAAAAGGTAACCTTCTTTTGAAAGATTAAAAAATATATACTATATCTATTTGACAATGTGATCCAATATAAATATAATAAGAACCACAAAGCTATTTTTTTCATTTTAGTTACATTAAAAAAGGAAAAGATACAGGTAGAATTAATTTTAATATACTTGACTTAACCCACTACAGCCAAAATATTATTAACATGCAGTAAATATTCTTAAATTAAGATATTTGATAGAACCTAGACACAGACCTAGAGACAGAACCTAGAGACAGAACATGGCAAAAGATCCTGGACAGAAACTGGCAACAGAACCCAGAAACAGAACCTAGCGAGAGAACCTGGCTGAAGAACCTAGACACAGAACCTAGAGACAGAACCTAGCGAGAGAACATGGCAAAAGATCCTGGACAGAACCCGGCTACAGGAATTGGCTGGAGAACCTGGATAGAACATGGCAAGAGAACCTGACTAGAACCTGGTGACTGAACCTGGCTGGAGAACCTAGCGAGGGAACATGGCTACAGAACTTCGCTGGAGATCCTGACCAGAACTTGGCTAGAGATCCTGGCTAGGCTGCTGATCAACTGAACGTTGTCTCCATGTCATTCCTCCTTCGCAGACTCTGTCCACACCTTTGGGGACCCCTGGACCTGCTGGGGTTGGACCCCAGCACTCTCTCACTCTCTCACTCTATCTACCCCCTTTCTCTCTCTCTACAAATCAATATAAACATACCTTTGGGGGAGGATTAAAAAAATAATAACAAGACTAAACTCCATTAGTATGACTCACAATGGATTTAGCATTCTGAATCTGGCTTATGCCTACTTTTTCATATATCTCCAGAGTCATCTTTAATCTATAGGATAGCCACATTCAAAGAGTTTGTTTCTCAAAGATCCCAGGCTGTTTCTCATGAAAATATTATTCCTTCTACATGCAACTTTTCATTCCATCTCTACCATTCTCATACATATTTTTCTGGTTTGTTTCACTAATCCTTACATTTAGACATATCCCAGAAAAATGTATCATCCTGATTTATGACTTTTTAGCTCCATATATCCCATCATTATATTGTTACTAGAGGCCCGGTGCATGGATTCATGCACCAGTGGGGACCCTCGGCCTGGCCTGCAGGGATTGGGCTGAAACTGGCTCTCGGACATCCCCCCCCTAGGGTCCCAGATTGTGAGACCCCTCCTGCAGGAGCAGCCCCCAGGACCAGGACACCCACTGGCTCCTCCTCCCTCCTTTCCTGGTTTGAGGCGCAGGTGAACCATATTTGGGTTGAACAGTGCCCAGCAGCAACATAACCCATGGCTGATTCCACAAGGAATTGGGTTCCCTACTCTACTGCTTGGAGTGTCTGCCCCCTGGTGGTCATTGCATGTCATAGCTACTGGGAGGAATGGTTGAACAGTCAGATGGTCACTTAGGCTTTTATATAAATACTAGAGACCCAGTGCACAAAAATTTGTGCACTTGGGGGGGGAGAATGAGGGGATGTCCCTCAGCCCTGCCTGTGCCCTCTTGCAGTCTGGGACCCCTCGGGGGATGACCACCTGCTGGCTTAGGCCCGCTCCCTGGGGGGGATTGAGCCTAAGCTGGGAGCCAGACATCGCTCTGGCAGTCCAGGAGCCCTTGAGGGATGTACACTTGCCAACGGGGAGCAGGCCTAAGCTGCAGTCGGACATCCTAAGTGCTGCTGAGGAGGAGGGAGAGGCTCCCGT